GGGTATACGACGATGGCCGTTATGAGGAAGAAGGGCAGAATAATATCCGAGGAAACATTTGGGAGAAGGTAATATAATAACTCTTCATTAGATCCTTATAAAATTTTGTCTATTTTTGAAAGAAACATTCATTAAACTTTTTGGTTTGGCTTAATCAGGCATCTACGAGGTTTATGTGTGCACTGTTTTCTTTACCTGTTCCTCAAGGACAACCTCGTGGAACGGTGCAACCACCGAGCAATTATAATACTGTTCCTAATTATATAGAGCATAAGAAGATTCAGAAGCTTCTACTTCTTGGTATTGAAGGGTCAGGAACTAGCACTATCTTCAAACAGGTAACGTTTAATGGATGTGATGTGGGAAAATTTAAAGAGATAATCTGCGGATTCAATGGTTGCTTATCGAGATATTGTGTTGACTGAAACAGGCCAAGTTTTTGTATGGAAACAAGTTTTCAGTGGAAGAGCTTCAAGATATTAAGCTGATGGTACAGAGCAATATGTATAGATATCTCAGTATCCTTCTCGATGGAAGAGAACGATTTGAAGAGGAAGCTTTGTCGCATGCAAGAGGTTTAAATGGCGCTGAAGAGTCAGGAGGTAATGATTTCGCGTTAGGTAACTTTGTGATTTGATCTTTGTTGATGTGATTCTTGATTACCTGAAATGTTCTTGCAGGCGAGGAAGCAAACGACGATGGAACTGTCACTACACCACAATGCGTGTACACCTTGAACCCGAGGTTGAAGCATTTTTCGGATTGGCTTCTAGATATCATAGCAACTGGTGATCTTGATGCGTTTTTCCCAGCCGCAACACGTGAATATGCTCCGTTGGTTGAAGAAGTTTGGAAAGATCCAGCGATACAAGCAACATATAGAAGAAAAGATGAGCTTCATTTCCTTCCTGATGTCGCGGAATACTTCTTAAGCCGGGTATGGATGGTATTGGGGTTTATGTTCTGGGGTGTCTTATCATTTATATATTGATTCAAATGATAAATTGGGCTTCATTTGCAGGCTATGGAAGTATCGAGCAACGAGTATGAGCCTTCGGAGCGAGATATCGTATATGCAGAAGGTGTTACACAAGGAAATGGTTTAGCTTTCATGGAGTTTTCTCTCAGTGAACACAGTCCAATGTCTGAATCTTACCCAGAAAACCCCGACGTATCATCTCAGCAGCCAAAGTATTTATCGGTTAACCCTCTGTTTCCGCAATCTTGAACCGCAAACTTTAATACTTACTATCATCAATCCTTTCTGTTGCAGGTACCAGCTTATCCGCGTAAATGCAAAGGGGATGAGCGATAGCTGCAAATGGGTAGAAATGTTTGAAGATGTACGGGCAGTCATCTTCTGCATCAGCTTAAGCGATTACGATCAGATCAGCATCGCACCCGAAAGCAGCGGAACAGTCCAGTTTCAGAACAAGATGATCCAAAGCAAAGAACTTTTCGAATCAATGGTTAAGCATCCGTGTTTCAAAGACACACCTTTTATCTTGATCCTAAACAAGTACGACCAGTTCGAGGAAAAGCTAAACCGCGCACCCTTAACATCTTGCGACTGGTTCAGCGACTTCAGCCCCGTGAGGACGAACAACAACGTGCAGTCACTGGCTTTCCAAGCTTTCTTCTACGTCGCGATGAAGTTCAAGCTTCTTTACTCGTCTATCACGGGTCAGAAACTGTTTGTGTGGCAAGCTCGGGCAAGGGACCGCGCGAATGTGGATGAAGGGTTTAAGTATGTGAGAGAGGTTTTGAAATGGGATGAAGAGAAGGAAGAGAGTTACTTAAATAATGGAGGAGAAGATTCATTTTATAGTACGGATATGAGTTCGTCGCCATATAGACCGGAGGAGTAAAATTTACATCTCCCTGAGGAAACTTTTTAATTGATGATTTGTTGTTATTTTTTAACTTCTAAGTAGAGAGAGTTATTTGGAAAGAGGAAAAATTAAATTACTTATAATCTTTGTGTTAAATTTGGTTATTGGTTGGTAGATTTTTTTCTCAATTTGAATGCAATAAGCCAATAAGGTTTTGTATATATAAAATGCTAGAAAAACCAAATTTTCATGTCAAGTATTTTCTTAATTGTTTCTTTGAGATTGTTTAAACACACTAAAAAGTTATTAAAAGCTAGTTATTTGTCTAGAGAATAAAACATATCTAATCTTTTAAGATGATGGATATAGATAGATAAGATAATCAGTGAATTGTTTTGATCTTTTTGGACAAAGAATAAATATGATATTTTATGTTTTAAAATTAGCAAAGAGTAGAAGGAGTTTGGTGAACTGTACAAAAACTATCATGTGAGTCATGAGAGTAACTTCAATGCAAAGCAAAGGTTTTAAATTTCCATCTTATCTTCCTTTTCTTCTTTCTATTTATTGTCATCATTTCAACTCTCTAGACTCATCTTTTGCAATTTTTAGTTAAAAAAGAAAAGAGTAATAATGGGTTACCTCTCATCTTCTACAAAAACTCTTCTTGTTGTTCTCTTGATCCTTTACCTTGTTTTGGTTTCTGCAGATTCTACTAGAACTCAAGTTGATTATGCAATGGACCTTGCAGCCACCAAGGGAAGTCAAGCCGTTGGATTGCATGGAAGAGCAAGGATTAACCACGGGAGCTACCGTGGACCGCGTAAACATCTAGTGAATCCCACAGTGGTAGATGTTTACACAGTTCCTGAATCTTCAGTTTGAATTGAAGATTTTGATTATACAAGATCAGTTGTTGCAACCAATATAAGAAAGAATAAAAGTTTCTATGTATTTTCTTCATGTTGAAGTAAAAACCAAAGTGGATAAACAAAGTTTATTTGAGTCTACAAAGCACTTTTCTCTCTTACCATATAAGGCGGATTTAGTGTAATTTACTTGTGGAGAACTCAATGTATAATCCACATGTGCAAAAGTTAAAGTCTAAAAGGGTAAATCAATCCTAAAAAGAAACCATAGATCAAGAGATCAGTTAAAGTGTTTAAAGTTCTCTGCCTACCAATGAGCCAACATTGGCTCTTACCAATTTCTAAAACTGTGAAAAGAGTCAACAACAACTCTGGAGATAGAATGAATGAGAGTGAAAGAAAGAAGATTTCCATTGTAGAGCATAAGCTTATTGAACCTTTAACTATTTAATACATATAACATACACTATGATTTGGTTCTGTTCTGGTACACACATAAGTAAAATCTTAAAGAACGAAAAATAGAGTTTCAAGAGGAGATTGAGGAACAAGCTTGTATTGGTGTGATAATATATTATAAGCTATTGGGGTATAAGGAACTTTGTTCATCAATTCTTAGATGTTACTGGCGGCATGGCATTGCATTCTTCTAATAGATTTAGCAAGTTGTGTTCAGGGGCACTGAGTGATGGCAAGATTGAACGATTTGGCTGAGGCGGGCGAGGTGGTTTTGGTGCGGATCCATCAGATTCAGAAGCAGCCTCATCTTTCACAATCTGCAAATCACCTTTTCTCCTCATAGACGCAGATACTCTCTCCTTCCAGATTCTCCCATCCTGTTTTAGGAAAACCCCAAAACAGAGAAAACAATCACTAACAAATATTACAAAACCAAAACTTTAAGAGCTTTCTATAAACAAATCTATGTTGCCATGGAATGTTACATTTAGAATGGATGGTTCAGGCAATGGACACTGAATCGGTAGATCATTGTCCAAAGGCTCCACAGGATGTTCCACCGGTTTAAACTCTGTAGCTACTTCAATCCCATGAGTAGCAGATGTTGCAGTTGTGGTAGTTGCTGCAGTAACATCAGAACTTGGAGCCAACACTTCCTTATCATCCTGATCAAAGGAGAAAACTTTCAAGAACTCAGATTAATCAAACAAAAACCCAATCCATACAGTTCAAAAAAAGGGCAAAACTTTTAAGATATAATCATCAATCAGCAACACAACAACAACTAAAAACTCATCCTTTGGTCGAATCTGGACTTTAAACTCAAAAGATTATTAGCATATCATGAACAGTACTGTATAATCTAATCTGGGTATTTCAAATCCTAGCTAAAGGAGAGATTTTTAAACATGTTTGAATCTAAACTTCAATAAGAATCGAACCCAGAAGCTGTAAAAGGAAAGCTTACGATTGCACTTTGTGTTCGTCGATGACTGCTTCTACCAACAGAGAATCTTGAAAATATACCAACCATGGTTTGATTGAATCTGAAATATAAAAAAAAAACTTCTTAGGAGTTGTAAAGATTAAATCTTCCTTGATCGGTGATTCTTGACTTAGTATGAGCCCAAGAAAGAAAGAAAAAAGTGAAATTTAATCTTCAACCTCTAAAAAGGACAAGGTTGCTTTATATATCTCCAGAAGAGCTTGGTTGATAAAATGCTTTTTTTTATTTGTTTAAAGCTTTGCTTTTTGATTTGCTTTAAGCTTAAGCAGATTCTTACTTATGCCTTCACTCTCTGTTTCGTTTACTTTTTTTTTTTTGTTTCACAGCTTTTCTTGGATTTGGACAATCTAATTATCATTATTTTATTGAATGTAGTTTAATTATGTGACTTATGTCTAATTGAAGATTAAGAATCGTATAACTGTAATGAACTAGTGGGGGTTATTTAATTTAATATAGGGATGTTGAGTAAAGATAATTTTGTTATTTATGTCACTGTCCAATTTAAATAGATTGTAATAAAGAAAATTAATTATTTCGAGAATAAGGTGGAAAAATAAATAAATAAAATTTATAGTGGATATTAAACACCCAATATGTATCTATCATTTAACTGTAAAATGGATTTACTAATTACTCTACATTACAAGTCAACTAAAGTCTGTAGACTATTATGTTATTTGCCAAAAATAGATGATTAATCAAGAAACTAAAATTATGCTATACAGTCTTTGGATTTTGTTTAGGTTTGAACTGATAAACAGTACCTTAATAAAATTATTTTCAATGAAATCATTCAACATAAATATATTTACTATAATAATTGTTCTCATGTTTGTTAATGTTTCGGACAAGCTAAGCTTGTATCATATGTTTTATTTTTTTGGACAAAGATTGTATCATATGCTCATCAAAGAAGATTGTGTATCTAAGGACTTCTTGTTCTTAATCTTAGAACATGTCCAATTGAAAGGAGGATCCACATATGGTCCTTTGAGTAACCCATCAGCCATTGATTTATATGCAGCCTCAGTCATGTGAACGCCATCCCAAGACACATACTTTGAAGGATCAAGGCAAGATTCCACTCCAACACTCCCACAACATGTATTAAAGTTGAAGTTGTACGGTCCTCCAACACCGCAACAAGCGGATAAGGGCTTATTCACGAATCCTGGCAATATCATTAATTTGGAAATCGATTAATATCGAATCAGTAAATTGGTTGTGAAGATCTAGTGGAGGTATCGAGATGACTAACCGTATTTGGTTGGTTCTTGGTTAAGGCGCAACAAAGTATTGTAATAGTCAGCATATATGATGTTGACATGAGGGTTGAGCTCCCTGAGTCTCTTGAGTTCTGCCTGAAGCTGCTCATCGTGGTATTCTCCAAACTTGTTTAACCATTTCAGACATCCAAAAGAATCATATTCTTCCATGTTTGATGTTTCATATAATGTAAGATATGCTACTGAGCATCCTATAGGGAACTCTCCGGGCACCAGAAATGTTCTTCCACCCATACCAATCAACTCCTGGACTCAACAAACACATTCCAAAGGAAACAAACACATTATATATATGGATTCAGACAAACTAACCAATATGTTTTACTCGTTATTGTGAGTAGGAGAGAAACATGTTACCGTAATTGCAGAAGAAATAGTCTTAATCACCAACGGAACGAGCTCTTTGACCTCGTTAAGGGGTTTGCGCTCGAAGAATGGGAAATTATAATCATTCCCTCCGATCTCTCCCATGAGAATCAAAGCATTTCCAATCATATCTCTACAATCTAAATATATATATATATATGTGAGTTTAAATACATTACAATTATTCCACTAAAGCTGGTCTTGATCACTACCTGATGGCAAGCCACATAGATTTGGTAAACTCTCTTTGAAGATCTTAATCTGAACTCCTAAACTGATGTTATGAGGAGGATGGTATCCTCTCTTCTCGAGAAAAGAACTTTCCAATGTTGTTGCTGACCCTACTGCAAAATTAACTCCTTTTTGAAAGTTTCCATTTTTAGATCCGAAGTAAGGAAGCACATAAGGAAGCCCCAAAAATTCAGCTGTAAAACAGAAGAACAAAAATTGTATTATCACTTGAGGTTAACTTGGGGTTCAAAAAAAAAATAGAGAAAAATTTGTGTGAACATACTCCACAAAAATATTGAGCAACTAGGATTTATCCCGTGGTACACCACGGGTCCATAATTTAATATATTTGTTTGATTTATTATTTTTGTACTTGGTTTATATACTATAGTTTTATACGTGTTTATATAATTTTAATTTTATATAATTTTATGAATTTGTATAATTTTAAATTATTTTAATTTTATATAATTTATTATTTTTGTAGTTGGTTTCTTGCATGATGATTTGTTGTAAATAAAAATTTATATTTTAACTTAACCCGTAAAACTTTTTTAATATACACAACCCGTAAGAAACATATAATCATATTTATATTTGAAATATTTTGAGTTAAAATATTAATAATATTTTAAATTTTGGTCGAGTTTAAATATTTTTTATATTTTAAATATTCTATAAAACTTTAAAATTTTAATTTGGATACATGAGAAATCAAAGTTCATGTTCATTTAAAGTTGTGAAAATATTAGTACTATTTATAATGGGTTTGAGCTATCTAATTTTTTTACCTTATAGACGTTGTACATATATTTTTTCTTTTATCGTTTGAGTTATATACGCCCGTTTTCAAAATTTTAAATTGCAAAATGTGCGAAAAAAAATTTGTATTTTTATTATAAATATATTTTATGTAATAATATAAATTAAAAACAAATAAGATTATATAAATATATTGGAGAGATATTCGATTTATTAGAGAGACATTTTAGGAAATCTTTTTGTTGTAATAAATATTTGTTTCCAATTTTACAATTTGCTTGTGATTTAATTACAAAATTTACTTTTAAGTTTTGTTATTTATTCAATTGGCAAGGGTTTGATTATGCAAATATTATAAAATAAAAGGTTATAAACCTAAATAGATTTTAGTACCAAATGTACTTCGAAAATGTATATATAGATACTATCGAATACCATTAGACTAAAGGGATTAAACTAAAGGGAATGCATTTAATCAAATATTTTTAAAATTTTGTGTAAAACTAACAAATCATATCTCACTCAATCATAGATTTTAATTTTTCTTTTTAAAAAACCCAATATTATTTAATTAGTGATTTGAAATATTTACTTTAAAATCCACTGTCATTAAATACAATTTGAGGTTTTGGATTTTTAATTATTTCATAGGATTTTAGAGGAAATATGAGGAGTTTTTAATTAAAAATATCATCGTTTCATGTGGTTTTGTAAAGATTTTTTAACAAATCATGAAAATTTGAATTATATAAAATATACACTTTAATACATCCCCTAAGTTTTTTTTTCAAAAAATGCCACTACAAAATGTTTAGTCCAAAACTACCACAAACCTAATTAAAATGATTTTTAAAAATTTATTATTTAGAAGTTTTGGGGCGTTTTGTTTAGTATTTTGGGGTTTGTACCTATGAAGTCAATGATAAGACGGCCATCAGAGCTACGACCGGTTGGTTGGTGGAAGAAGGTTTCTCCATACGGTGTAAAACCGATCAAAGGAAGATTGTTAGGATCCGAGAGACTAAGCAAGTTCCCGGTGTCGGCAATCGAATCGCCAAAACTGATGATCGACTCAAAATTCCGGCATTGAGAATCTGAACTTACCATAGTGACAAAAAGAGTAGCTAAAAAGAGGCTAACCAGCTTCTTCAACACATGAGAATCTAGCCACGCCATGTGATCAGAGGTCCGAAGTGACTTTGTGTGTTTTCTATCTTTTCTTATTTTCGAAATCTCATGTTTTGGAATCATTATAAACAAATTGGACCAATGAGCGTTTCTTGTTGCCTTATAAATAAGGGTGGGGCAAAGACAATTTACTTTTCTATGTCCTACAAAACTTTTGTATATTTGCATCGTTTAAAACGGGTACACGTTTGGCTTTTTAACAACTCATTCTAGAAAATATCTACACTTTGAGTCGTAAAAAGAGTGTAGTTTGTTTATCCCTAAGTACGTATTGTCTCATGTAACCTAATAGAGTTGTTCAGACAATTCATGAGTTATTTGGTAAATTCTTTACCAATTATTTGCATGCATGTTTACTACAAGAAGAGATATGTATAGTGTTGATTTAACATTTAACATAAAAAAAAATTGGTTTCCTTAATTAAGATTTCATCATCGAACGAGAATAATAATATTGAGGAAAATCACAGAATCTTATAACATTTACACCCAAAAAGAGATTTTAAAAAAAAAAAATGTATCCCTTAAACATAATCAAAACAAAAGGTATTCGACCTTGACATAGATTTTTGTTTATGCTTAAACTCATTTTAACATTCATGCCAATTCCTTCTACAGTGGAAAAATTAGACATGCTTGGTGGTAAACCTAGAGTGAATATTTTCAATTTCTTGGAAATAATTGCTAATCGCGTGGCTGACCATTTCTTCTAGACAAGTGATAAAGGAACCATTTTATTGAGATAATATTTGATCCTTCTAATCCAACATCTCTCTTGAGATATCACATATGGTTTAGCAAGTGATACTTGAACCACACTCTCTCAAATAACACCACTATATACAATACAATGCATGATACTAATATCATACCACATGACAAGCTATGGAGATCAATGCCCTATCAAAATTTATATATAGAATTTGTTAACCATTTCTTTCATCCTCAAGTGTTTGTGTCCTTTTCTTTTGCTTACAAAGTATATTTCATTTATTTGATTAAGAAAAAAATTATACACTAATCCACATGACCGTGAACGTCTGTGTGGTAATCTAGTTGTACAATATGATACAAGATCCAATACAAGAGAACGTACATAATGAGCGTTTCTCGTTGCCTTATAAGTAAGGGTGGGGCAAGACAATTTACCATTTTTTTTTTATGTGGTTGTATATTTGTCTCGTTTAAAACGGGTACACACTTTTGGCTTTTTTACAACTCTCTCTTGAAAAAATCTATATTAACTGTTAACGTGTAAACTCATAATTAACAGTTTGCCAATTCCGTCTATGCCAAACTTATAATTAACAAATAATTGTTAATGAGTAAACTCATATCTTTCATCCTCAAGTGGTTGTGTATCTTTTCTTGCTTATAAAGCATATTTGATATGTCATTCATTTGTAATTAAGAAAAACATTATACATTAACCCACACACACCTGTGTCCTGTGAGCCTGTGGGTGGTTATTTAGAGCATCTCCCATCTTTGTCGATGTTTCGGACAAGCTTGTATCAGATGTTCATCAAAGAAGATTGTGTGTCTAAGGACTTCTTATTCTTAATCTTGGAGCTTAGGCATGACCAACTGAAAGGAGGAGTCACATATGGTCCCTTGAGTAATCCCTCTGCCATTAATTTGTATGCAGCCTCTGTCATGTGAATGCCATCCCAGGCCACATACTTTGAAGGATCAATACAAGATTCCTTTATTACCCTCCCACAACGTCTACTAAAGTCGAAGTTGTACTGTCCTCCTACGCCGCAACAAGCGGACAAGGGTTTGTTTATGAACCCTGACAATATGATTGATTAGGAAACTCGATTAATAGGATAATCAGTAAATTGGTTGTGCTTATTCAGTGAAGGTGTCAAAAAGGCTAACCGTATTTGGATGGTTCTTGGTTAAGGCGCAACAAAGTATTGTAATAGTCAGCATATATGATGTCGACATGAGGGTTGAGCTTCCTGAGTCTCTTGAGTTCTGCCTGAAGCTGCTCGTTGTGGTATTCTCCAAACTTGTTCAGCCATTTCAGACATCCGAAAGAATCATATTCTTCCATATTTGATGTTTGATATAATGTCAAATATGCTACCAAGCATCCTTTAGGGAACTCTCCGGGCACCAGAAATGTTCTTCCCCCCATACCAATCAACTCCTGGATTCAACACAGCGGCAAACACATTATATATAGTTTTATGACAATCTTTGTTTTACTAGCTTGTAATGTGACTAGGAAGTAGATCAAGAATCCTATTCAAATGGTTACCGTAATTGCAGAAGAAATAGTACTAATCACCAACGGAACAAGCTCTTTGACCTCGTCAACGGGTCTGAGTTGTAATAATGGGAAATTATAATCATTCCCTCCAATCTCTCCCATGAGAATCAAAGCATTTCCAATCATATTTCTACAATCTATAAATAAATACAAGTGAGTTTAAACGACTTCAAATATATATATATAGTTACTCCTCTAAAGCTGATCTTTACTACCTGGTGGCAAGCCGCAAAGATTTGGTAAACTCTCCTTGAAGATCTTAATCTGAACTCCTAAACTGAAGTTGTGAGTAGGAGAGTATCCTCTCTTCGCGAGAAAAGAACTTTCCAATGCCGTTGCTGCGTCTACTGCAAAATTTACTCCTTTCTCAAAGTTTCTATTTTTGGATCCGAAGTAAGGAGGCACGTAAGGAAGTCCCAAAAATTCAGCTGTGAAGAAAAAATTGTAGCATCACATTATTGTGTTAACTTGCAAAAAAAAAAAAAAGAGATACTGTATGTTTCACATAAGAATTCAGTGAAAACATACAAAACTTAAAGGACAATTAGTAACTCAACTCTTTTAATTCTTTCTTTGAGACGCTTCTCAAAATGTCAATTTGCATGTAAAGAAAGATCAGAAGTGTACCTATAAAGTCAATGATGAGGCGGCCATTAGAGCAACGACCGGTTGGTTGGTGGAAGAAAGTTTCTCCGTACGGTGAAAATCCGTTCAAAGGAAGATTGTTAGGATCTGAGAGAGCAAGCCTGTTTCCGGTGTCGGCAATTGAATCGCCAAAACTGATGATCGACTCGAAATTACGACATTCCGATTCCGAGCTTACCATAGTGATAAAAAGAGTAGAAAAGAAAAGGCCAACCAGCTTCATCAACACATGAGAATCTACCGATGCCATGGGAGAGATCCTACGTGACTTAGTGTACGTCTTTCAATATTTTGTTGTTCGTTTTATGCATGTTTTTAAATTATATAGAACTAATTAGCTGGAATAGACCAATGAGTTATGAACTAAATGGCTGGGATAGACCCTAATTAGTGTCTTGTTGCCTTATGGGTGGGACATGACAATTTACTTTATGTACTACAAAACTTTTGTAAAATTGTATCGTTTAAAACGAGTTACACTTTTTGGCTTTTAGCAACTCGCTCTAGAAATATCTATTTTGAATCATGAAAACTATGAAAGGACTGTTCGTTTATCCAAGTACTTATTGTCTAATGTACCTAATCACAAAATCTGCAATTGAAGCCAATGAAAGTGGAGCAAGAATTGCTTCGAAATGGCTATATTGCGAGGATGACCATAACTTTTAGATAAGTGATAAAGGAACCATTTTATTGAGACAATATTTGATTGAACCACACTCTCTCAAATAATTTAATCACACTCTTGAGATATCACATGGAGAACAGTTCCCTTCAAAATTACTTTTCAGACAAGCTTGTATCAGCTGTTCATCAAAGAAGATTGTGTGTCTAATGACTTCTTCTTAATTTTGAAACCGAGGCATGACCAATTGAAAGGAGGGGTCGCATATGGTCCTTTGAGTAATCCATCAGCCATTGATTTGTAAGCAGCCTCAGTCATATGCATGGCATCCCAAGCCACATATTTTGAAGGATCATTACAAGGTTCCACTCCTACAGTCCCACAACCTGTACTCAAGTTGAAGTTGTACGGTCCTCCTACACCGCAACAAGCGGGCAATGGTTTGTTTATGAATCCTGACAATATCATTGATTTTGAAACTCGGTTAGTAGGGAGTCAGTAAATTGGTTGTGAAGATTCAGTGGAGGTATCCAGAAGGCTAACCATATTTGGTAGGTTCTTGGAATAGGCGCAACAAAACATTGTAATAGTCAGCATATATGATGTTGACATGAGGGTTGAGCTTCCTGAGTCTCTTGAGTTCTACCTGAAGCTGCTCGTCGTGGTATTCTCCAAACTTGTTCAACCATTTTAGACATCCAAAAGGTTCGTATTCTTCCATGTTTGATGTTTGATATAATGTCAAATATGCTACTAAACATCCTAAAGGAAACTGTCCAGGCACCATAAATGTTCTTCCCCCCATCCCAATCAACTCCTGGATTCAACACAGTCCCAAAGGCACAAACACATTAAAGTTTCCTAACAATCTAATCAATTTGTTCTAATTGTTATTATGACTAGGAAGCAGATCAAGAATACTATTCAAATGGTTACCGTAATTTTTCCAAAATAAACTCCGTTTAAAATTCAAAACACTTATGCTTAAGGATGCATATAATGTAACATGATTTTTTGGTTGAATGGATTTAACATTCATTTAAAAAAAAAAAAAATGGTTACCATAATTGCAGAAGAAATAGTACTAATCACCAACGGAACGAGCTCTTTGATCTCTTCAATGGGTCTGCCTTGTAATAATGGGATATTATAATCATTTCCTCCAATCTCTCCCATGAGAATCAAAGCACTTCCAATCATATCTCTACAATCTAAAAACAAATACATGTGAATTATATATACTGTTATTTCACTAAAGCTGATCTTGATCACTACCGGATGCCAAGCCGCATGAATCAGGTAAACTCTCTTTGAAGATCTTAATCTGAACTCCTAAACTGATGTTGTGAAGAAGATGGTATCCTCTCTCCTTGAGATAAGAACTTTTCAATGCCGTTGCTGACCCTACTGCAAAATTAACTCCTTTCTCAAAGTTTCCATTGTTAGACCTTGCAAATCTTAGGGGATCTTACCCCCTAAGATCCTTGCAATGAGTATGCCCTTAGTTCCGAAGTAAGGAGGCACATAAGGAAGACCCAAAAATTCAGCTGTCAAAAAAAAAAGTTGTAGCATCACTTAAGGTGTCACATTGTTAACTTGCAGTTCAAGACAAAAGTAATCTGAGAGAGAATTTACATAATTATTCAGTAAACAGAACCCAAATAGAAACAGCTGTCCCAAAATTAGAAAGTACACAACTTCTTGTACATAAGACAAATAGGAAAAACCAAGAAAGAGCAATTAATTACTAACTAATTACTCTTTTGATTCTTGTCGAATACAATTATGTTTATTTTGGACTCTTCTTATAGTTTTTCAAAGCTAATTTACGTATTAAACAAAAAAAAAATTACGTATAGAAAAATAAAGAAAAGTACCGATGAAGTCAATGATGAGGCGGCCGTCAGAGAAACGGCCGGTTGGGTGGTGAAAGAAAGTTTCTCCGTACGGTGGACGACCGCTAGAAATATTGTTAAGAACCGGGAGACCGAGCAAGTTTCCGGTGTCGGCGATCGAATCACCGAAACTGATGATCGACTCAAAATTCTGGCATTGCGATTCGGAGCTTACCGTGGTAACAAAAATAGTAGTTAAAAAGAGGCTAACCAGAAACAGGGTTTGTCCGAAGTTGTCTTTCTGTTTTGCCGACATTATCGGAGAGGTCCAAAGTTGTCTTTATTTTCTTTTCTTACTCTTTTATTTATGATTTTCGAAACAAACAGAACTGAACTATTTTATAACTTGGCTCGGATGGACCGTTAAGTTATGGACTTGTTACTATTGTCGTAGTCATATATTATTGACTTGTTAAAGACAAAAAAAATGTAAGAACTAAAAAGTAGATTCAGTAGAATGTAGTCACAAAAGTGCCACGTATTAGCAACTACTATCACAACTTCATCTTATTTGCGACCATTCTTTCCTAATATCATTTTTTTTTTTCAAACTTTAAGTACCTAAAAGGAAAATAAAATGCGGGACTAAATATATTTTATAGCCGAAAAAAGTTCTAACAAGAAAAAAGTCAAAACATATAAATAAATAATCCGTAACGCAAAATATGTTTCATAGCGCAAACATTAAAAAAAGAAAAAGAAAAGATAGTTTGGTTTTAAGGTTCACCTAAGTCGAAGATGGAATGTTTCCATTGGATGAGAAATGTTATGTAGAAATATTGAAACTTCAGCTAATTGCACATTTCGAAGTCATACTTAATCATTATTCTACAGAGAAAAATGAGATGTGAGTTTGTCTAAACTTAATTATTCTTCTTTACATTATACTAATCATCAAAAGGGTATTACAAAGAACTGAAAGGATAAAATTGTAGTACAAAGAACTAGGTTCTCAAACAAAATCTATATATACTGTTGTAATCAAAGAATTATAATACAAAGCAAGATCAATCAGTTTATATATTTAAGCAGAAGAATTTTTGGAGATGGAAGTTTCTACCTCTGGAAGCTGGATATGGATCAAGTGCCTTTGCAAATTGCGTCAAAGTGGAATGGTTTGAATCCGTAACATGCTTTCATAGCATGGGTCATTACTCGAACATGTTGCATACAAGGGACATATAGTAACTGATTTAAATAATAAATCTTAACTATTTATTGCAAAATCTTATTTATTTGAAAGAAAATACATAAATAAGGTATATGTAAAATATTTTAATTTTTGTTTATATAAATTTTTGTGACGATATTTCCACGTATCCGATTTTGTTTATAAGAGATACTGAATAATTTTGTTAAGTTTGTTGCCTAAATTGATGGATACTACTAAAAAAAACATTAATATCGTCACAAATTAGAGTAGTATGTTTCCTTTTTCTCAATAGGGCCAAATTATGGTAACCTTTTTCACTATTTTAATAGGACCGGGTACATCCATTTAAAGTCGGACAATCTATTTCCTAAAAATCCGATCGTGAATTTCGTGTTAATTTTTTTTTTTAGCCTGACCCGATAACACTTTTGTATTCCTTTTTTACTATAACTAGAATTTACTCCGTGGTGTACCACGGATCAATTTTTGTTGTTTTATTTTAATATTTAAGATATTAAAAGATATATTTATATTTGTTTAAAAGTGAAATTGATGATTTTTAGTATAATTTAACGAAGTTAAAATGTATTATATGTTAGATTATAGTAAACTATGCAGCTTTAAAAAGTATTATTTGTTAGATTATAGTAAACTATGCAGCGGTAAGGCGGTAAGAATATACGCAATATGTATGTCGATCAATATAGATTTAATGGGCTTTCAAAACATAATATTAAAGAATAATAAAACCCAGTGTCAAAACACAATACTTATTGTTTGCCAGGCAGTGTACCCGATTATGTAAAAACGGGTTGTCTAAAAACATAATGAACCGACCCGAAACTATGTTAAGACATAAGTATCCTTAATGAGTTTAGTGTCATTGATCTTTGACGTTTGGTTTTTGGTCAAACATGTGTAAAAAAGGATTTTTGGTCAAAATGTACTTAAAAAATGTTAAGATAGATATGGATAGCTATGAACAAATTTGTGATTCTTGCTCATGATTGTATTTTATTTTCTTGTCTAAAATTCAATTCGGGCTGTACCTAACAAAACAAGAGTCTAGACCATTTAACGTAAACATTAAAAATACGGGTACAAAATTGCAATTATTGAACTATCAAACAATGATGCTTTAAAACCCTAAAAACCTAATTTGAACAAACGACTCTCGTTCGGCCGTTTCGACAACTCTCTCTCTCTTCCTCTCTACCGTAAACAAAACAACGAAATGGCTGGGCAAAAGCAAGAGCTTCCCGTCTCCGGCGAACCATTGGCCGGCGAGAGTCCGATCGTAAACAAGAAGAAGAAGAAGAAGAGCAAGAAGAACAAACAAACAGAGGAAAATCGTGACCTCGAAGTGCCTCAAGAGGTCACGAATGGTGTAGAGGAGGAGTTGAGTAATAAAGAGAAGAAGAAGAAGCGTAAGAGAGAGGAGAAAGAGATTGAGAAAAATAAGAAGAAGGAAATCGCCGGAGATGTCCCGGAGAAGAAGGATTCGAGTGTTGTTGGCAATGGAGGTGGAGGAGAGAGTGAACAGCAGAAGGTTGTTGTGACTGGGAAAGGTGTGGAGG